TCTGAGGGGGTGTCAATCAAGCTGGAGAACCAATCAGAGCGCGACTCGCTGCCGCCTCAGGTTTCCCGCCTCACCGCGCTGTGCCCTGTGCGGGAGAATTTCGGGGGTTTTGGGGTAGAATTTAGGGGTTTCTTTGTGGGATTCACCTGTTTGGGAGGGAATTCGGGGATTTTTTGAGCGAAATACGACGATTTTGGGGCAAAACTTGGGTATTTCGGGTGTTAATTCGAGGATTTTGAGCTGCTCCGAGCTGACTGTCTGGGCGGGTGAGGAGAGGGTGTCAATCACAGTGGAGAGCCAATCAGAACGCCGTTGTGGGGTGGTCACGCCCTCCGCCTCAGGTTTCCCGCCTCTCCCGTCCGGCAATGCGCGGAGGAAATTTGGGGATTTTTGGGGTGAAATTCGGAGATTTTGGTGAAAATTTCGGTGTTTTAGGGGTGGAATTCTCGGGTTTGGGGGGGAAATTCGGGGATTTGCGTGCGAAAGGCGGAGATTTTGGGGAGAAATCCGGGGATTCTGAGCCGCACTCTCCGAACACCGCGCCGCACGCTGATTGGCTGCGCGTGATGAACGCAGCTGTCAATCAAAGCGGAGAACCTATCAGAATACAATTGCGATGCTTGGTAACGCCCCCGTCCCGGCTTTCCCGCCCCCGGCGCTGATGGAGAAAAGCGGGAATTTTGGGGTTAAATTTGGGAATTTTGGGGTTAAATTTGGGGATTTTGGGGCGGAATTCGGGAATTTTGGGGTTAAATTTGGGAATTTTGGGGCGGAATTTGGGGATTTTTTGGCAGAATTTGGGAATTTTGGGGTTAAATTTGGGGATTTTGTGTTAAATTTGGGAATTTCGGGGTGGAATTCGGGAGTTTTGGGGTTAAATTTGGGAATTTTGGGGCAAAATTCCGGCATTTGGGGGTGAAATTCAGGAATTTTGGAGTAAAATCTGGGAATTTGGGGGTGAAAATCAGGGATTTCGGCTGGAATTGGGGCATATTGGGGTGAAATTTGGGGATTTTGGGGCAAAATTTGGCGATTTGGGGGTGAAAATCAGATTTGGGGTGAAATTTGGGGATTTGGGGGTGAAAATCAGGGATTTTGGGGTGAAAATTTGATTTAGGATGAAATTGGAGCATTTTGGGGTGAAATTTGGGGATTTTGGGGTGAAAATCAGATTTGGGCTGGAATTGGGGCATTTTGGGGTGAAATTTGTGGATTTTGGAGCAAAATTTGGGGATTTGGGCGCAAAATTTAGGGATTTAGGCTGGAATTTGGGATTTGGGGTGAAATTTGGGGGGTTTGTGGCAAAATTTGGGGATTTTGGGGTGAAAATCAGGGATTTGGGGTGAAATTTGGGGATTTTGGGGATTAAATTTGGGGGTTTGGGGTGAAATTTGAGGATTTGGGCTGGAATTTGGGGATTTTGGGGTGAAAGTCAGGGATTTGGGGTGAAATTTGAGGATTTTGGGGATGAAATTTGGGGATTTTGTGGCAAAACTTGGGGAATTTGGGGTGAAATTTGGGGATTTTGGGGATTAAATTTGGGGATTTGGGGTGAAATTTTGGGATTTTGGGGTGAAATTTGGGGATTTGGGGTGAAATTTGGGATTTTGGGGTGAAATTTGGGGATTTGGGGTGAAATTTGGAGATTTTGGGGCAAAATTTTTGGATTTGGGGTGAAAATCAGAGATTTGTGCTGGAATTTGGGGATTTTGTGGCAAAATTTGGGGATTTTGGGGTGAAATTTGGGGATTTTGGGGGCAAAATTTAGGGATTTGGGCTGGAATTGGACCATTTTAGGGAGGAATTTAGGGATTTTGGGGATTAAATTTGGGGGTTTGGGGCGAAAATCAGAGATTTGGGGTGAAATTTGAGGATTTGGGGTGAAATTTGGTGATTTTGGGGATGAAATTTGGGGATTGTGGGGTAAAATTGGGGATTGTGGGGTGAAATTTGGGGATTTTGGGGTGAAAATCAGGGATTTAGGCTGGAATTTGGGGATTTGGGGTGAAACTTGGGGGGTTTGTGGCAAAATTTGGGGATTTTGGGGTGAAAATCAGAGATTTGGGGTGAAATTTGGGAATTTTGGGGTGAAAATCAGGGATTTAAACTGGAATTGGGGCATTTTGGGGTGAAATTTGTGATTTTGTGGCAAAATTTGGGGATTTTGGGGTGAAAATCAGAGATTTGGGCTGGAATTTGGGGATTTTGTGGCAAAATTTGGTGATTTTGGGGTGAAATTTGGGGATTTTGGGGATTAAATTTGGGGGTCTGGGGTGAAATTTGAGGATTTTGGGGTGAAATTTGGAGATTTTGGGGCAAAATTTAGGGATTTTGGGGTGAAAATCAGGGATTTGGGGTGGAATTGGTGGATTTGGGGTGAAATTTGGGGATTTTGGGGATGAAATTTGGGGATTTTGTGGCAAAATTTGGGGATTTGGGGTGAAATTGGGGATTTTGGGGATGAAATTTGTGGATTTGGGGTGTAAATCAGGGATTTGTGGTGAAATTTGTGGATTTTGTGGCAAAATCTGGGGATTTTGGGGTGAAATTTGGGGATTTTGGGGGCAAAATTTAGGAATTTGGGCTGGAATTGGACCATTTTAGGGAGGAATGTAGGGATTTTGGGGATTAAATTTGAGGATTTGGGGTGAAATTTGGTGATTTTGGGGTGAAATTTGGGGATTTTGGGGATTTGGGGTGAAATTTGAGGATTTGGGGTGAAATTTGGTGATTTTGGGGTGAAATTTGGGGATTTTGGGGATGAAATTTGGGGATTTTGGGGTGTAAATCAGGGATTTGTGGTGAAATTTGTGGATTTTGTGGCAAAATCTGGGGATTTTGGGGTGAAATTTGGGGATTTTGGGGGCAAAATTTAGGAATTTGGGCTGGAATTGGACCATTTTAGGGAGGAATGTAGGGATTTTGGGGATTAAATTTGAGGATTTGGGGTGAAATTTGGTGATTTTGGGGTGAAATTTGGGGATTTTGGGGATTTGGGGTGAAATTTGAGGATTTGGGGTGAAATTTGGTGATTTTGGGGTGAAATTTGGGGATTTTGGGGATGAAATTTGGGGATTTTGGGGTGTAAATCAGGGATTTGTGGTGAAATTTGTGGATTTTGTGGCAAAATTTGGGGATTTTGGGGTGAAATTTGGGGATTTGGGGTGAAATTTGAGGATTTGGGGTGAAATTTGGTGATTTTGGGGTGAAATCTGGCGATTTCCAAACCACCACGACGACACAAAGCTCCCAACCATCGCTTCTGTTCCCTTTCCCTCCGGAATTGCAAAGCAGAGACAGCCCAGGACCCGC